GAGAGAGAGAGAGAGTGCCGCGTGGTCGGAATTACATTTGAAAGTTCCTACTATGTGGAATGCTGAGTGTTGACCGATCGTGTTATTTTAAGTGTATACTCGTAGAAAAAAATAATAAGGACAAAAATTATTAATTATCAATTTTATCAGGTCAATTTGAATAAACTGGTGACACATAGTACATAGTCAATATAATTTTTAACTTTTGATAATTTTAATTTAGATCTATAACGAATTACGTTCAATTTTTCTCACAAGCTAATAAATGATGGAAGCAGTTCTCTCGTTGTGTTAATTTCTTTGTAATAAATTGTCTTTTTCTCTTGTATTAGTCTCAATTTCTTTCGCGATTTAAAAAAAAAAAAGAAATAGAGAACTATCTACACTGTCATCACTTTTTGCGCTCGTTACCATGACAATTTGATTTACTCGCTTCACGCATGGGTAATTAAGAAGCGAACAAAACCAGATTCGCAACCAGACGAATCCATTCGTCACTCCACGAAGAACGCTCGATCGAGAGTAAAATCCTCGTTAATGATCTGCCACAAATACTTAAGTGATGGATATAACGTTAAAATTCATGCAGAACGTTAGGATCGGATCGATACTGGAAGTAGTTCAAGCCGTGAAATATTAAAATAGCAATTTTGTACGACAAACGGAACATGGTTGTAATCAAATGTGCATCAATTCCGAAGCAATGTTTCATGTATAATCATATTCTATTAGAGATTTTTCAATTTAAGTTTATTCACAACTGAACTAAAATTTTTCTAAATAAAAGTTAGCCATTAATCGTTCAGTTCTACTTGACTATAATTTCTTTATAAAATCACAAATCTGTTGTAAAAAGAAGAAAGATATGTTAGTACGCAATATTGATATATCGAAAAAGCAACAACGAATTTAACATAAATCGTAGAAGCGGCTAAATAGTAATTTAATCTGAAATGTGTCGAAGTGTAAAATTCAGATCTTTAGTCTGATAAACACGGAAGTTACGGTCCGTGAGTATGACTGTGATCAAGAAACCGTTTCTTCTTGCGAAATGCAACGAGGAGCAACAAGTAAATTAACGACGAGGTTCACCGAAATTCAATACGCGTTATATTGACCATGCACCTTCCCCTTTCTTCTGCGCGATGAAGGGCGTCGATTGAGAGGGGCACCCATTGAACCCGCCGCAGGGAGTCTTGGCGTCAATAGACCAAATACGCCTTTTCAGGGAGGAAAAAGGGAGGAGAGTGGGAGGAGGGCGAGGAGGAGGCGTTTTTCGTTTTAATCTCTCGCACGCTCGCATCGTGCACGATTCGACTTCACGGAACCGATCTCGGTCGTCTTCCTCTCGACTCCTCGATTTACGTCCGCTGTATGGCCCTTTTGCGTGGCTCAGCGGCGTAACAGCGTCGGATTTTTACCTAGACGCGTGACGTAAACGAATGCTCGTAATTACGGCTAGCTGAATGTCGAACGAACGTGGGAAACCATGTATCGCGAATGAACGCAATCCGTAAGAGGAATCTCGTCTCGCTAACAGTAGTTCTGTGTAATTTTTTATCGCTTTCGAGTATTTGGATTTATATATCGAAAGAGAGGGAGATATACCGAGGGAAACATTACGCAAAACATATTTTTCTCGTGCCATTTTATCTATCCTACGAAGCATTCCTAATCAATCGCGTCGCGAGGCTTAACTTAATTCCGGAAGTCTAGTCAGAGCGGCCGCTGTTTCTACACTAACCGCTAAATGAGATCTGTTTGTAACCTTAAGATAAACTAACGTCGGGACTCCATCTCAATTCCTTCTCTCCGCTGTTATCTCTCGCGGAATGCACGCGGTACAAACCGGGAAATACGTGACGGGTCTCTTATGGTTTCGCAGTCGGAGTTCCGACGATGGTTACGCTACTGCGAATGAAAGAGAGAGAGAGAGAGAGAGAGAGAGAGAGAGAGAGAGAGAGAGAGAGAGAGAGAGAGAAAGAGTGCATAAAGGGCCCCGTATAGGTCGCCTCGGGTGTTCGGCCGGGCACATATAACGCGCAAAACGATGAGTTAGCGGGACTGACGCGCCTAATTAAGTATGCTAATCGTCGGCTAAAACTCGTTGCTCGTACGAAACGAGCCTGGAAATCCACGGGACGCGCGGTGATGCGCGCAAAGGGACTCGCGCGAATGCGAGCGCGCGTGAGAGCCCGCCGAGTAACGAGTACATTCCGCCGGTGTTCTTAACGATAGCGAAACCCTCTTACACCTCTCCCGTCGTCGTAACAAACTTCCGATCCGCGGTCTATAATGAAGCTCGGTATGCATCGCGACCGCCGCTGAGTCGGGGAAATATCCTTCCTCGAGTTCGAGTTACCGCGACGATAATGGCATTTTCTATCGAGCGAGCCATTTCAACGTATCGTTCGGCTCATTTCCCAATTAGCTAATAGCCGGTGGTTAATAACATAATTATAAATAATGGTTCCGAGCGATTAATTGCGCGCGATTGAACCTGGCGTTAAACCTGGCGTCAGCCGCTACTAATTATTCTGATTTGTTGAGATAGAATAAAGTTTACGCGTGACAAAGAATTCCCTTCGTTTACAGCGTATTTTATTTCGATATGTGTCACGTCGAGTTTGTTTTACAAAATTATCTTGGTGTCGATCGATTTTTTTCACTCGTAAGAATTATATATCACACTAAGGAACTTTCGATTCACATCTTATGAGACGACTGATAAATTACAAGTACCGTTGACCGCTATTTTATTTAGGTAAAGTTACCTTTTCATAAAATTCGCGATCGCGTACGCGATAAGAACGTAACTGTCACATTTAAATTACGAATTACAGTTATTTCTCACATTCTGTTAGATTATGAGATAGTATTGTTTACTGTGACCATACCAGGTGTCTCAATCCGCAAGCGAGTTTTCAAGATCAACGACAGTGAAAACATAACGAATTCCCTGCAGTAATAACGCGTGGCACAGAATGTACATAAATTATGACGAAATTCATCGCGATGATTATACCCTTAATGCCAGCACCATCGTGAGGCACAATTTATTTTCCAATTAACACAATACATGAGAAATTTTATTACGCTTTTAATAGACGATAATTTATTGGGATCAGTGTCTCGGTTTGTATATCTATTTCTCTCTTTTTACATGGTTCAGTGCTATAAAACAAGATCGCTTTTCTCTTTTTACATGGCTCAGTGCTATAAAACAAGATCACTTCTCTCTAATCGCGCATCATCATATAAGCTCGAGTCTTGTTTCACGACGTCGCAAATTTTATTAGGCTATCAATAAAGATAAATCACGCAAGCGCGTATTCGAATTATGCAGAAACGCGCGACACGAGTATAAGCGAATTTATGGGACGCCATGAAAGAGAGGCCTCGAAAATATTTGTCGTGGATCGTGAGAGATTTTTACTTCCGGATTCCTTTCTACCTGAGAAACTCTCAGAATGAAGAGTTCCTACCGTGATTGGCGTTCTTTCAGTGCTTAAGATGCGAAACGAGTTTTCGCGGATACAAAGAATCCTTAACAATGTGTTCGACAACCCTTTCAACGAGACGCTTCCCTACGTACGAGAGAGAGAGAGAGAGAGAGAGAGAGAGAGAGAGAGAGAGAGAGAGAGAGAGAGAGAGAGAGAGAGAGAGAGAGAGTAGTAGTAAGTAAG